CAGCTCACATTTATAAAAAATAACTACAGCTAACAATCTCTGTGCTCTGAGAATGTGCCAAACGCTTTATACCTAGTAACTCATGTAAATATTGTAACAGTCGGATACAGTAGAGAAGTTTGGTTACTTTGTGGATGAGGAAGATGAGGTCCAGAGAGCTTCATCACTTGCCCATAGTCACAGAGCAAATGAAAGGAGGAGTCAGGATTGAACCCAGGGCATCAGGTTTCGGAGTGCACTGTATGGCCTTTCTGTACTGAACCCGCCAGGTACCCAGCTGCATGGGCACCATGTGTGTGCTAACGCAGTTTAGTTCTCACACCAGTTCAGCAGGGGTGGTATTATTTCCTCATGAACTGGGTAAGGAAATGGACTCAGAGAGGTTGGGTAAGCTGCCTGGGTCACAAGCTAGTTAGTTAGTGGCAGAGATGGAATGTGTGGACGGACTGTTCAGCACCAGAGACAGCTGCCCTCACTAAGGGCCCTCCAGCTGCTCTTAGTGACCCCATGCTGAGCGAGCGGTTTCCAGGGACTCGGCGACAGGCTGCCTGGCACTGATGCCCCAGCCCAGCTGGGCTTGTCTGCAGGAGAGCCCCTGCCCAGAGGTGGTGAGAGCTATTCTAAGCCAGAAGCCCAGCAGAATAGTAGAAGCTGCCAGCACCCTTGTGGGGGAGACACAGCTGGATCAGCCTTGGACAGCATGTTCCAGAAGGGGAGGCTCTGTCCACCACCCTGTGTTTGGATGGGTTGAGTCACTGCTTGCCACTGCTCCCCTTTTTTGCTCGTTTGTGCCCTAATAACAGGGTTGAGGATAAAAAGCACAACATTTGGCTTTGAAGTCCAGCTCACTACTCACTAGCTTTGTGACCTTGGGCAAGTTCCTTAACTTCTCTGAGCCTCAGTTTCTTCATCTATAAAATTGGGATAATCATTCTTTCTTCTGTGAGCACTGCTGTGACCCTGTGATAGCGGGGACCCAAACTCACAGATGTCCCCCAATCAGATTTCCAGGAGTTTGCATCATAGTTCAGCTCAGTGGCAAGAGGAGAAGCTAAAAATGCCTCTTACAGTAACGGAGCATGAAATTGGGAGTTTTTGCAGGTTCCAGCCATCCTGCCTCTGCCCCTGTCGCCGCTGCTCATATGACACTACTCTGTCTTCTGCCTGTCTTTCTCCTATACAGGTACATGCACACACAGACACACACCAACACCCAATTCTTCCACATGTACATTCATGTTTACATGCACGTATCTCAAATTCTTCTAAATACTGCAGAGTATAAGCCCCCGCCACACACACATACACGTACACACATACATCCTCATCTCGCCACATTCCCAGGGCCGGCGTGGGGAGCGGCATGGTCAGGGGGCAGTGTGGCCCAGACGGAAAAAATCCAAGGGACTGGATTTGAGTCCGGCTTTGCTGAAATAAAGCCAAGTATGCCCTGGACCTCTCTGAGCCCCCGTCTCTTCATCCGTAGCATGGGCTTGACAAAGCTCCTCTTCAGGTTGTGAACAAAACGAAAGGTCATGTTCCTCAATGGCCTGTCTCCGTACCTGGCACAACGTAGGTGCTCAGTAAAGGGGACTTCATCCTAGGGTGAAAATTCTCTAGGCAAGGTAAAAACTTTCTGGTTGAATGTGATCTTTTAAAATATTTTTAAAGCTTCAAATAAGCATGATAAGACATTTCATGGAACATGTCTTACACAGGCTTTAAGGCTGAACCTGCCATTTGTTTTGCTCAGTAGGGGTTTGGCCTGGAGACAGGTGATGACCTGGAGTCTCAGCATCCTTGGTTTGCTCCCGTCCTTCGGGTGAGGCCGGGGTGCTCCTGCTCCTCCCCACTGGTCCCAGATCCCTGTCGTGTGCTGTGTTGATGGAACAGCAGCTGTCCTCCCCGTTGTCCTCGGGTTTTTCTCGGAGGGCTCCTGCGTTCCATCCGCTCCTGGTGGTTGTGGTCGGCGCGTACCTACATTCTCTCTGCTTTCTTGGCTTTGTCAAGCTCTTGCAACAAAGCCCCTGACCCGAGGGAGCCTTGGAGAAACCTGGTCGGAGCCTAATTCCAGAGAACTTCATCCGCTGAGGATGGTGGGCAGTGCCTTGATCTGCCAGACCCTGCAGGGCCCGAGTTCAAGAGCTGACTGTTCAAGCAGCTCTTGAACTCGGGCCCTTCATCTGCTGGTCACTCATCTGCTTGGCTTCTTTCCATGGTCTTCCTGTGGCAGCCTGGATAGGAAAGGGACCCCGTAGGTCTCACCTAGTTCTCTCCTAAGGCAAGGGACACAAACCCAGATGTCTTTATGTAACATAAGTGGCGGATACAGGTGGATACATTGGAGAGCCTGTTCCATGACTCGAGGCATCCAATCCACAAATTAAAACAAATGAGCAAACCAACCAGCTAACCAGCCAACCAGCCACTGAGTGGTTCCCCCTGACCACACCTGCCCTTGTTAGTCACTGACGAGCAGGTGACCTGTGCCTGCCCATCGGAGCACCGATCACAACAGGAAGTGCCCTCGTGTGTTTCTGTGCTTGGTTGTTATCTCTGCCCCCGTTTGAATGTAAGCTGGGTGATGGGAAGTACTTGTCTGTTCACCAGGTGTGTCCTGGGACCTTGTATGGTTCTATTATGATGCCTATTGCACAGCCCCTGCCATGTAAATATTTGCTGTTACTCAGGTCCCTGGAAAAGGGACTCTGCTTCGCTCAAAGTTGCCCTTCTGTGGCCAAAGGCTGAGGGTTGCAACCTGGCCAGGCATCTGTCCACCAGTCAGCTGTACACAGCTAAGCATCCCTTCAAGACTGACTCCACATCACCATATTGGTTCCTGCCCATCGGTAGGGCACAGTGGTCTCTTCCTGACCTGGCCCCTGCCTGCTTCTGCAGCTGGGTCCCGGCACCCCAGCTTCCTCACTGTGTCCTGGCCACACGGTGCAGCCAGCTCACACCAAGCGTCCTCTGCCCTCTGTGCTTCAGCACACCATCCTCTCTGCTTGGAATGCAGGTGCCCGGTGCCCAGGTGCCAACGCATAGCAGGTGCGAATCCATGTCTTCCTGAGGACTGTGGAACAAATGGTTATCTCCTCATTCATCAGTCAGAGTGCAATTGGGGACCTTCCAGAAAGCTTTCTCTGATCTTTTTACTTTTATCCTATGGAGGAGCTGAGCTATTTCCTCCGAGATTCTGTCTCATCTGCGAGATGGAGTAAAAGAGCAGCCGTTCCGGGTCACTGTGAGAATTAAATGAGCGCATGCCTGCCGAGTGACTGGCCCGGGGGGCATTTGCCGGGATGGAAGTGCCTTCTCCTCCCTCAAGACAGCCGGTCCACTGCCACCAAAATCTACTTCGGGAAAAGAGATGATTAGCTGACAGTTTCCATAGTTCCCATTGGCTGGAGGGTCTCAGAACGTCACTCGGCCAATTTCCAACATGCTTCCCTCCGTGGCCCACTTCTGACCTGGCTCGTTGAGTCCACGGACCCACGAGGCTCTTCCCGCAACCCGGCAGCTGTCCACAGCTGTTCCCAATACCACAGGGGCTGCCGAGTAAACCCTACAGACTACTGAGGAGCCGCGGGCCTTCTCTTCCAACAATTAAGTCCGTCACATGACAAGGCAGCCCCAGTGGCTGCGTGACTGATGCTGCTTCAGCCCGTGTCCTTCAAGCCTGGGTCCTTCATCAGACTGCCCCCCCCACTCCCGGGGTTTCCCAAGGAGTTACCCTGTGCCTCCAGCTGGGAACTCTGTGACTTCTGACAAGTTACTGGACCTCTCTGAGTCTCACTGAATCCATTTGTAAGGTGAGGAAAGATATTACATCAGTCAGGACCCCTGTCCCTACCCACATCGGACTGTGCTCTAGGCATGTGGCTGCTTATTTACTGCGGTGCCCAGGCTGGTGCCTGATCAGAACAGAGGCCAAGGCACGTGGTTCTCTGAGATGCTCACTGCTAAGCAAGGCTCAGAGAAGGAAAACAGTACAGGTGGCTGGATGCAGTTCTCTGAGCGACCCTTCAGGCATAATATAATAACAAAAACCATTGGACGTAATAAAGGCATTTGTGAGTACCAACTACATGGTAGGCACTGTGCTAGGAAACTATCTATATACACACACATATCTATGTATAAACAATATGTATTTTTATTATAACATTGAGTTATTTTTAAAATTGTGATCAAGTACATATAACATAACTGACCACCTTAGCCATTTTTAGATACATTTCAACGGTACTAGGTACATTCACATGACAACCGTCCATCCCCAGAACTCTTCATCCTGCGAAACTGGATCCATCCCCATTAAACACTGACTCCCCTTACCGTCTGTCCCCCAGCCCCTGGCCACCACCATTCTACTTCCTGCCTCTGTGAATCTGACTCCTAGATACCCAGGGAAGTGGAGCCACACGGTACTTGTCCTTCTGTGACTGGCTCACCTCACTGAGCAGCTTCAGGAGTCCCCATGTTGTAGCATGTGTCAGAATTTCCTTGTGAAGGCTGCCTAATATTCCATGTGTATTACACATTTTGTTTATACATTTCATCAAACCAGCTGGACACTGGTCTGCTTCCACCTTTAGGCTATGGTGAATACTACTACTACGAATATGGGTATATGAATATCTTTTTAAAACTGTGTTTAAAATTCTTTTAAATTATATATATGCATTCTTGGAAATTGTACGTCCGTAATTTAAAATATGTGCACTCACTATATAAATCTTTGCAATTCCAATGTGGTCTTGCAATGGATGTCTTAGTATGTCCATCTTACAGAGGTGGGGCGTGAGGCTGCAGAGACTGCGTGCAAGTGTCACAGTGCTGGGCAGTCTGGGTGGCCTGGCACCATGTGGTAGACATGGTCTCCGTTGTCACATGCTCACAGGAGGACAGTGGAATTCTCCCAGAGCTTGGGATCCATGTGTCCAACTCACCCCAGCCACTGCCACCCCTTCTCCCCGCCCAGACGAGCCCGGGCTCACCTCGTTGTCTCGGTCCTTCTCCAGGAAGTGGCGGGCCACGTGGCTGGGTAAGATGTTCCGCAGCATGTTCTCATTGTGCTCCCGCAGCTCCTTCATCTCGTTGATTTCCTCTTTGGCCTGAACGCGCCACAGGAAGTCCAGGCGGGCTGTGTACTCCAGCTGCAGTGCAGGGGGAGGGGGGGGGGGAAGGAGACACGAGCAGAAAGACTCTGGGTACAGGCTTCAGGCTCGTGCGGCCGGCGAGGAAGCTGCTCAGGAACCCTTCACGAACCAGACAGAGCCCCATCTGAACATTTTGGGAGGCATTTTGCCTGATAGCAGGAGATCAGAGGATTGGATTTCAGAGGATTGGATTGTTCATCCCCTTGCTAGCACTATGGCACCTGTAATTTTACAATTGTTTGTGTGATTATTTTATCACGGTCAAATTTTCTACTAGTTTGCAGGTGCAGAGTAGGGGTCCTTTCCCCTGCTCAACATTACATCCTTACCATGTAGCCACCTGCTTGGCACAGGGCAGGTGATCAATCAATATTTATTGATGCAACAAAGAAGTTATAATAATCAAACCCGCTAACACTCAGATGGTGCTTATTATTATTCCAGGAATTGTTCTAAGAAATATACATATCTTTGCTCCTTTCATTTATATAAAAATTCTGATAGGGCCCTGGCCAGTTGCTCAGTGGTTAGAGCGTTGGCCTGCAGTCCAGAGAGACCTGGGTTCGGTTCCCGCTAAGGGCACGTACCTTGGTTGCAGTTTGTCCCCGGCCCTGGTTGGTCGTGAGGGTGGCAGCCACTTGATGTGTCTCTTTCACGTCGATATTTCTCTCTCTCTCTCTCTCTCTCTCTCTTCCTCTCTCTCCCTCCCACTCTGTCTGAACAAAAAATGGAAAAATGTCCTCGGGTGAGGATAAAAAAAAAAACAAAAAATGCTGATAGGCATTATTATGATCGATCCTTATTTTACAGATGAGAAAATGAACAAACATGGCCAACGTCACACACTAGTTAGTGGGGAAGCCAGGATTTGGGCGTAACTCCGGAGTCCAGCTCCGGAGTCTGAGCTCGTGATCACTAGGTGACAAAGAAAAATGACTGAGCTCATAATGGCAGGGTTGTGCTTTTAGTTGTGAGACAAATACGGCTTAGCACCCTGGTCCCACTTCCCACACTGTGACCTGGGCTTCATCTCTGAAGGTAGGAGGAACACAGTGACCACGCAAGACTGGGATAGGAACCACACAGGAAGTCAGAGATAAGCATGGGGCACATAGTAGGTCCTCAATACACATTCGCTCCCTCTTGGCCTGGCTCCCCTGTGTGGCGCGTGGGCAGCTTCCTTTCTGAAGAATCTCACCTATTCCCAGAGCTGTGGGGATGTCATTCTTTCCAAGTCTTTAACTGTTGAAATGAACAGTGTGCCCCTCCGGGAAGCACATGGTTGGATGCTCGATTCAAGGGTTTAAAACCTCCAGCCCTCTCCTTTCCTTCGTCTTATGTGAACGTCTCAGTGGGTCGCAGATGTGCGAAAAGACAGAGACAGCAGGTTCTGTCTTCAGTGGGACCAGGAATAGCAAAAGCTGGAAACAACTCAAGTGTTCATTCTATTGGCTGAACGAACTAGTGTTTGCAGCTATAAAAAGAAACGAGGACTATGTCTCTGTACTTTGAAGGGCTGTCCCTGAGCTGGAGAAAAGCATGTATAGTAGGCTACCATTGATATATAAAGCACAATGATTTGATGACACATTCATAGAGGGGAACACTCGGAGGATGACAAGAGCTCAAAGGTAATCTTCAGCCCTGGCCAGTGTGCTGTAGACGGGCGTGGTCTGCGTCCCAAAGGTTCCTGGGTCGGATTCTGGTCAGGGCACATGCCTGGGTTGCGGGCTTGATCCCTGGTGGGGGGTGTGCAGGAGGCAGCCAGCCGATGCTCTGCTCTCACGTTGATGTTTCTCTCTCTCCCTCTGCCTTCCTCTCTCTCTAAAAATAAATTTAAAACATCTTTAAAAAACAAACAAACAAAGAATATTAAAACTGTGTATAGCCATCCTGCTGTAGATGGTAGTGTTCGTGTTGTTACTCTTAGACTGTTGTTTGGGAATGTAGGCCAAAACAGATGAGTGTGTGTCGGTGTCACCGAGAACCGGGATTTGGGAGGAGGGAGGAAGGATAATGATATAAGGTTGATGAGGTTAAGTGAAAAGCATATAGTCCTGGCTATGAAGAGAAGCCCAAACTCCTAATGTGTGTGGACATTGCCCAGCTCTGCCCGCTGAAGTTAAGTCCGAGAATCAACAAGAACTCCCTGTGTCCAGACTGGGATCTCAGCGTACCAATTTCTACCCAAACCACCTTATGCCCTTTGCAGAAAAGGCTGAAATTTAGGGAAGAAAATGTGCTAGCCTGGAACAGCTTTACATAGCAGACAGCAAGGAGATTACTAGGATGTACTGGGGTTAAATGGGAAGACTGAGAAGCCAATTGCCCAACTCCTCACAGACAGAGGCACTCGACTCGGGGCATCTGACTCCAGCGGTGGCTCTTAACCCCTTCGCTCTGTATCCACGACCTCATGCAGCTGTTGTCCAACTCTTGGCAGGTCACTACTGTCCTTTTCATTTTATAAGTAAAAAAAGAAAATAAATGAAGAATGAGCTTGAGTCTCTCAACGTCCCCGCTCATCCAGTGGCGTTACTGGGACTCACGCCTAAGAATATGTGGTTCCGAGACCGGGGCTCTTTCTAAGCGGCACGATCCCAGTGCCTACCTTTGTCAGACCCAGGAGTCAGTGAGTGACTGATGATGTGACCTCAACAATCTGTCCCCAGGTGTGGCTTCCTCTGCCATAAACAGAGATGCCGAGCAAAGCCCAAACCTCAGGTCTGCAAGGGAAGGGGCACGAGGCGGGAGGTGCCTTGTCTGCTCTCCTGTCCGACGTTCAGAACATCCCCCTGCCTGGGGAGGAGGGTGTTGGGCATATTCCTCCACACATGTGTCAAGTGAAATCTCCCAGCTCGTCAGTTATTATGTAACCGCCTCCGTCACTCGGGAGAGGCATAGTTACAGTGCTCCCGCCGGGAGGCGTCCGAGTGCCAGGCGCCAATGGGCGGTCCTGACAAACAGAGGGGGCCTCGGAGTCACCCAGGGGAACCGTGGAAGCAGGTGGCAAACCCAGGACTGGACAGGCTTGATCAGGAAGAACAGGACGGGACAGACGCTATGAATAGATGACACCTGCCCTGACGTCATTCTGCAGGAGCCTCTCCTAACAGGGGCAGCACGTGGTGGGAAGAGAATAGACCCCTTTCTGTCTGGCTTTCCTTCCTGGCTTTGTAACCTCCCGTGACCTGAGTCTCTGCTCCTTCCTTGGGACCAGATGGCTAACAATGCTTTCCCTGCTTGTTTTCAAAGTAAACTATGAAAACTCCCATTTTCGAGCTTGTACTCTGTGCAAAGTACTAGGATAAGTGTGTTAGAGTTACAGTCTCTTGGTACTGCAACAACCCCACAGGACCTGTTATTATCATACCCATTGTGCAAGTTCAGTAAATTACTGGAAGTCTACTAGGTGGCAGGGTTGGGTCTGAGCATTGTCTCCACTCCAAACCTGTACCCAAAACTGCTGCAGTTATGGGGTGTGATCGTGGAACTTCAAAGTCTTCTGAATGTTAAAAATAAAAAAGTAAGATATCGGATGTCATTTACATACTCAGACCCTCACTGCACTTCTATACTCTTACTTTATACACACTCTTTATTTATTTTATTTAATTTATTATTATTATTTTTAATCTTCACCCAAGGATACTTTTCCATTTATCTTCAGATAGAGTGGGAGGGAGAAGTGAGAAAGTGAGAGAGACACGTCGATTGGTTGCCTCCCACATGACCCCAACCAGGGCTGGGAACCAAACCGCAACCGAGGTACGTGCCCTTGACCAGAATCGAACCCACAACTCATTGGTCCGCAGGCCGATGCTCTAATCGCTGAGCCAAACCAGCCAGAGCTCTTTTTTTTACATTTTAAATTATTATTATTTTTTGTTAATCCTCACCCAAGGGTATTTTTCCATTGATTTCTTTAGAGAGAGTAGAAGGGAGGGAGGGAGAGGGAGAGAGAGAAACATCAATGTGAGAGAGACACATCGATTAGTTCCCTATTGCATGACCCTGGCTGGGGCTGGGGAGCTAACCTGCAACCCAGGTATGTGCCCTTGACTGGAATTGAGCCCATGACCCTTCGGTCCATGGGCCGACACTCTAACCACTGAGCCAAACCAGCCAGGGCAATACACACTCCTAAGGTGAGTAGGTGACCTGCTCTCCCAGGACGGTAGAGGATGGAATAGGTTCAGTAGGAGTGTTAGACACGTGCTGAGGCAGGGGCGTGGCGGGGCGTGGCGGGACGGGGCGTGGCGTGCAGCCATTCCTCAGGGGACAGGACACAGGGACATCTTCCTCATTGTGGGGCGAGGCCCTTCCCTTTGAACTCCACCTCCCTCAACTTTCTCTAAGGATTTCGCACTTGTCGGTTGAAGCCTGGCTGCTGGAATGTGCGTATGTTCTTCTCAGAATTGCCTCATCTGACCGTGTCTTCGTGGCCCTCCAATGGGTTGTCATTGGCATGTCAGCCTCAGGAGCTGTCCCCTGTAACTGGAAGCCATTGAGACGTGCAAGACGTGACCCCGGCTCGCACAGAGTCGAGAGACCTAAATAGAGGAATGCGGGGAGTGGCTCCACTTGGACACTCGGCTTATTGTTTCACCATCAATTCAGCTAAAGTTGAAAAACAAGTCAGCGCTGTGGCTGTGCGGCAGGATTGCCAGCCCTGGGGCACTGTGTTGCTATGAGACGCATGCTCTCCGGTCCTCTTCACTTAGAGTGGAAGGGCCCTGGCTGGTTTGGCTCAGTGGTTAGAGCGTCAACTCGCGGACCAGAGAGACCCGGGTTCGGTTCCTGCTAAGGGCACATGCCTCGGTTGCAGTTCGTCCCCGGCCCTGGTTGGGGTTGTGTGGGTGGCAACCAGTTGATGTGTCCCTTTCACATTGACGTTTCTCTCCCCCCCACCCCAATTCTATCTGAAGATAAATGCAAAAATGTCCTCGGGTGAGGATTTAAAAAAAAAGGGGGGGGGGCTTGGGAGACAGGGCTGGGTTTGAGATCGAGTTCTCTCACTTCCTAGCTGAGCAACCTTACTTTCTCCTTCTGTAAAACAGGGTTGATAATGACTACCACTCCGGGCTGTGGACGTTTGACTGAATGAGATACTAGAGGTCACGTGCCAGGCACTTAGCAGGAACTTGATACATATGAACTCTTTCCCCCTTGTCTTCGCTTGCCAAGTTCTATGTTACTCTTTTCTCCCCTGTGCCTACATTTTACCGTCCCCTTTATTAAAAATAATTTATTTATGCATCTCTAGGTTCTTGGGGTTTGGGGCTGTTTCATCCCTGGTTTCTCAGGGTTCATTACCTCCCCGTTTCCATGGTGACTTCTCAGTGATCTGTTTCTATTTCTGCTCTGGCTATTTTGTTTTTCTCCTTTTCTAGTTACTTTTTTTGAAGTGTGCACAGACCAAAGAAAGGTGGACAGGGACCAGGACGAAGCTGTGGAGCCAGCAGTGTCTGGTTTTGCCGGGAAAGTCCCCCCAAGGGGACGGACATTGCCGAATTCATGGTCTAAATTCACATGGAGATGTCCTACTGGGGACAGCGGGTGACACCTCTGGGGTGAAGCCTGGTATGATGTTCCTCCAACTCCTGAAGTCCTTGGACAGCCTGATCCACACATAGCACCCCCCTGTGGCATTATTTGGGGTCTGCTCTCCCCCAGGAGATGGGAACTTTGGGGCCAGGGATGGGGTTTTGTACCATGCCATCCACAGTGCCCACCCAGATCCTGGCATCCATATAGTGGGTGCTTTATCTGCTCACGGCACATCAGTCACGAAACGCTTCCTGTACTCACGTAAGGCAGTGATCAAAACGCTGCACTCAAAAACGAAGAAAAGATTCTTCAAAACAGCCCCGCTTAGGTGTTCCTCCCGCATTTTAGAAATGAGGCAACTGAGGTTCAGGGAGGTAGGCAACTTGCCCAAGGCCACAAGCTGCTGAGAGGCAGAGGTGGGATTAGAACCCTGGCTCTGCTGATCCTGACACCTGAATGTTTACACACACAACTTTGATAGCAACCATTTCATCCAGGCCACAGAACTGGGAGAGATCTGTTTCCCTCAAGCAGAAGTCGAAAGCTCTGTGTTGTGTTTTTTTTAAGGACAGTGGTCTCTTTGAAAGAGCTAAACCTAAAGGGAGTCAAAACCACATTGTTTACCAAGTCTTCTCCAGCTTAGTTCTTTGTCCTGTAGTCTGTGTTAGGAATTGATTCGTTAAGAATCACAACTTGCTGCGAGCAGCTAACAGTCAGTTGCTGCAAACAAGAGGCAGTTTTATGGTGATGGAAGATGCCAGGCAACCAAAGGTAGTCAGAGCAAAAGGTCCCATTACCTGCTGTCCATGGTAGAACACAGCAAGGAGGAACATGGCCATCAGCAGCAGCGATGCCTCCTTGGTCCCCAGGAAATCTCTGTTGGAAGAAGAAATGCAAATGGCAACCACGGAGGGACTTGAAGTACACTTGATAGGAAAAAGGTTCAGACAGGAGAGGGATAGAAAGAAAGAAGCAGTTGTTTTCTGAGCTCCCACTAGGTGCTAGGGCCAGCTCCGGGAGTTTTCACGTAGGCTAATTCAGAAATCAGTTGACCCCAAGGGCATGCGGTCACCTAGGTCATACCTGGTGGACGATTCTAGAGTCTAGCATTAGACAGTGCACTCACATTAATAATGAAGTGTTCTCTCAAAGATGCCGAGAACATTTTGATGGTTGTTGGAGGGGGGCTGGGGGGCTGGGTGAAAAAGGTAACGGGATTTAGAAGTACAGTGATACCTTGGTTCTCGAACATAATTCGTTCCAGGAGGACGGTCGAGAACCAAATTGTTCGAGAACCGAAGCCATGAAACCCAATAGGAAATAATGGAAACTGGATTAATTCGTTCCAAGCCCCAGAAAATGCCTATTTACTGGCCTAATTTGTATATAATATGTAGAAAAACATAAGTCTCAACAAGAAATAAAAGTGTACAGTATGTCTAAGGGTTAAATTCAGTGTAAAGCGTGACTCTCTCCACAAAGCGTGACTCTCTGCACTCACACTGGTGACGCAAGCAAGGCGCGCTGGGCCGAATGAACGCCATTCGGCTCAACTCGGCTCATCTCGGAAGTTCGAGTTCCAAATATTTGTTCGGATTCCAAGACAAAAGTTTCTCGAATCTCCTGGTCGAATACCGATTTGGTCGAAATCCGAGGCGTTCGAGAACCGAGGTATCACTGTACAAACTGGTAGTTACAGAATAGTCATGGGGATGTAAACCACAGCATAGAGAATATAGTCAATAATACTTTAATAATTATGTATGGTGCCAGATGGGTTTGGGAAATATTGGGGGGGGTCACTTTGTAAAGCACATGATTGTCTAACCCCTATGCTGTACACCTGAAACTGATACAAAATAATATTGGGAAAAAATGTACTTGCAGGACACTCTTTCTAGATTTCAAAGAGCTCTTATACTTTCTTGTCATAAAACTTCATGTGAAGACAGGGATTCCCCTCTTTTTTTCTTAAAAGTTACCCTGTTTGAGAGACAGATTGAATGCTTGCTCTGTGCCAGGCCCTGTTCTAAGTGCTGTAAGATTCACACTTACATTTTATATCAATTCAGTCAACTGGACGCTGTTTTGATTCCATCAATTTTGAATTCTTACATCAAGTCTATGAGTAGGACACTGTTGTTACCCAGATTCCAATTCTTGTATCTTTCAATGATTCCAACAAAGGCTCAGTCCCATTGGGTCATCTTGTGCTGGAGTGAACCCCCAACACTCCCCTCTGGGGGTGCAGGCTGCTGACCCGACCTGTCCTGGGCTCTCTAGAACCCCAAACTGGAGGGCAGCCTGCAGTGGCCAGTGTATATTTAAATGCTGATGTGATTTTCAGCCATCAACTTCAGAAGAAGGCCAGGGAATCCCTTGTTTGATTCTAAATGCTTCCTCTTTCATTCTGGTGCCGTATGAAGCCTTTCTCAGGACACCTGGGCCAGGAGGCAGAGAGTTTGGTGGAAGCAATGTCAGGCTTTGAATGTGAGCACAGGTGTCTCATGGAAATAAACAGTTCCCCCTGACAGGCTTCCACAGGCTGAAGAAGACCAAAACCAAAACCCAAATAACAATGCTCTAGACTAGACAAGTCATTTCTGTGGATGTTGTGACTTGCTTCCCATCACCTCCTGTTTTATCCCTCAGGTGTCTCTACATCAGGCAATTACCCCTCATCCATTCACCAAGTGCTTGAGCCAAAACCACAACCAAAACTAGAAGTCAAGCATCACCACTGTTATCCCGATCCATCCACTCTTCCACCAAAATAGATGCTCACTTCTCTCCATCTCTACCTCTACCACCTGGGTTCAGTTACCATGGTTCCCAATAGCCCCTTAATGTTACTGTCTACAGTCTATTTTTTAATATGGCTGCCAGAGTTGTTTTTTTAATCCTCACTCGAGGGTATTTTCCATTCATCTTCAGATAGAGTAGGAGGGAGGGAGAGAAGGAGGGAGGGAGAGAAGGAGGGAGGGAGGGAGGGAAGGAGGGAGGGAGGGAGAAAGAGAGAGAGAAGGAGAGAGAGAGAGAGAAACATCAATGTGAGAGAGACACATCGACTGGTTGCCTCCTGCATGACCCTAACCAGGGCTGGGGATGAACCACAACTGAGGCATGTGCCCTTGGACAGAATCAAACCCATGACTCATTGGTCCGTGGGCCAATGCTCTACTGCTGAGCCAAACCAGCCAGGGCTAGAGTATTTTTTATGACTAAGGCTAGATCATGTTACTCCCTTGTTTTATTGCCTCCCAGTCACAAGCACACAAAAACTCAGAACGCACTCAAAGTAATTTAACTCTAGTATGGCTTAAGGATGCAATGGAGCCATCACAGATGAGACGCCGTGTTTAGAGGGAGGAGTAGCGAGCGTTCATATGGCTGCCCCCCGGGCAGTCTCCAGCTTTTCCTTATATGTTCTTGCTGGAGACTAGCTGGAGTAGCAGGGGGCTCAGGGAAATGGGGGTATGAGTCCAGCTTCTAAGACCAGCTTCTTGCCAAGCTTTATGCTTATACAGGGCCCAGTTAAGTTCTCCAGGTAGAATGTGGACTTAGGAATGGAAATATGCTTTCTCTTGGGGAGGTATTCAGATTTATGAATTTCTAGTTCCATCTGTTTTTTATCCTGGAGATCAGATGCTAATAATAGATGATACTCCTTATTGTGTTTCTTTTCTATAGCCCCAGCAAAGGACATAATTATTGAGCATTTACTGTGTGCCAGGCACATGCTGGGATACAGAAATGAAGAAGGCACATTGTCTTTGCCCTCAAAGGAGTCTATTTAAAAAAAAGAGAATCAAATAGACAGATAATTTTGTAACCACATACTCCATAGTAGGGATACATCCTTGTTGCCATGGGAATGAAGAGAATGTAGCTTGGGTTGGATGTTCAGGGAAGACTCAAAAGCTTAGTCTTAAAGGATGGCAAGTCTTGGGACGTAAAGGTGGGGTGGGCTGTTATAGGTATGGGACATATCTTACTTATCTAGTGGTTCACACGCCTCTAGAGTAGGGACGATAAGTAAATGTCACATGAAGTTTGAGGCCACAGGCAGTGAGCAGGCAAAAATGCTCAGCTCTGTTGGAGCTGTCCACAACAATCAGTGCTGAAACAAAGAGTGTTGGACTCTGAGCCCCATACTGTCATCCAGCATTTTAGGACCAGGATTCATTCATACACTCACTCATTCACTCACTCATTTATTCATGCATTCACTCACAGTCACTACAGTGCTTATTTTGTGTGTGTGTGTGTGGGGGGGGTAGACATATTTTAGTACCACCCTTTTCTCTGTGTTACTTAATTTGCTGGCCCCTGAGGTTTGGGGACTCCTGAAAAATGATAATGACAGAGCAGACCCAGGTTCCACTCTCAGCTCTGTTACTGTTACCAGCTGTTTGACCTTGGACAAGCTGCTCTCTACCTCTGAGCTTCCGTTCATTGCCCATTGTGGAAGACTCTAATAGCATTTACCTCCGTAATTGGAGGATTAAATGAGCATATCTTGATAATGTGCTTGGTATGGTGCATGGCCCACATTTTCCTCTCTCCACCCCACAGAGCTCCCAGCTCATAATCTTTCTCCTGATGGTGGTGCTTTAAGAAATATAGCTGGATCACATGGGAAGTGTCATTTGTTTAGCTACTGCTGAATGTGGCCCGAACTCTTGCTCTGACAGGCTCTTCAAATACCCTTCTTTTTGTGATACAGATGCTTTTTTAAAGCCCAGAAATTTAGCACTTAAAATGTACTTCCAAGAGGAAACATAAATACCTCTTAAATCATTCTGAAAGCAGTGGTCGAGAAGAGAGAGAGAGAGAGAGAGAGAGAGAGAGAGAGAGAGAGAGAGAGATGACTAAGTCAAATTGAGAAGAAAAGTAAAAGAAAATTATGAATGGTCTTCGAGTCTTTCTCAAAGATGTATTTCAGGTGAAAAAAATATGGCCTAAGTAGACTGAAGAATATGCAGAGTAAGTCTGCCCAGTCAAGGAACATCCAGAAAGAATTGTGATTTGAATTAAGAAGAAATTGGGGTGTTTTTTGTTTTGTTTTGTTGTTGTTGATGTTATTATTGTTTTGGTAGCTTATGGTTATTTAGAAAACTTCCAAAGGGAGCCAAATGGCTAAAAGATAAACAAAATTATAATACTTTGCTTGATATTGGGTGGCAGAGACTAAAACAAAGAAAATTTTGAATTAATTTATTTGTATTAATAAAATAATTGAATTAATACTGCCATCTCCCTATATTAATAGAAAAAAAAAGTAATGAAGTGAAAACACATGTAGGATAATGTAATTTTCAGGGCTATCACAATCTTTGAAGATATTCTTATCAGATAGCTCATAAAAATTAGTATTTAACTTGAGTGTTACTCACTATAGAAATACTTATGCTAATTGTAGTGAGTTTGGAAGTTAATGAAAATTCACAAATAGAAAAATAAAAGTTGTCCTTAAGCCTACCACCCAGAGAAAACAATGGTTAATATTTTGGGGTCAATTACATGTCATTTTACCCTTGTTTCAACAATATGTTTATGTTTACAAATTTGGGATTGTATGGTTTATACTGGAATAATGTCATGCAACCAACTACTTTATAATGTGAGTTCAATGGACACATTTTATTCTGTACTAAGTGAACCATACATGCTATAATATTCCGCAAGCCGTTAGTTTTCATAGGGAGAAGACCAGGCCCAGAGAGAAGTTGCTTTTTCAAGGTCACACAGCTGATCTGTGTCCAAGCCAGGATGAAAACTCACATTTCAGGCCCCAAGTTCAGGGGTTTAGCCACCGTGCACCTGATGCCAAATGTTTAGTCCAGCTATTATTTCCCATTCTCCCTCCCCCAAGAAACCTAAAGAAAACCAGCCAATTTGAATGTATTTTTTATTCTGTGGCCATGCTAATGACGGCATTTGCTAAGTGTCGATTAGCTGCCATACTTTCTTTAACAACAATATTGCCTGCTAGAATTGCCATATCAACAATGAAGATACTATTAACCTTACTGTAGTAAAGAAAAAAAACAAGAAAGAAACTGAGCCACTGATGTTGAATGACACGCTCCAGCCCACAGCTCTGTGAGTGGTGAAGGCTGGCTGTCCATCAAGATCTCCTGATGCTCCTACAGTGGCTATCATGCCCTCCTACATGCACTTGTTTGCTCCTAAGCGCCTTGAAGGTGGAAATAATGTCTCACTCATCTGTGAATCTGTAGGGCCTAGTATGCAACATTGTGACACTTAAGTCCAAAAGCAAATTGTACTTACAGGATGGGGAACGCATGGTACACATGGTTTATGGGCATTGGCGAGCAAAAATCGAAGGGGTTGCAGATAGACAACAGTTAGCTTACTATGAGTCCGTGGTGAAATGTGATTCCTAATGAGCTAATATTTCTGTCAGTCACTCATTCATTCCATGTTTCATTCAACAAATATTTCATTGAACACCTGCTGCCAGACTTTCTACTAAGTGCCAAGACCATGAGGAATGGCCCTTGCTCTCAAAACCTCTTATCCCAATGAAAGAAGACATGAAAATTAATGTTTATAACACAGAGAAGCGAGGGTAATGAAACACAATTTACAAGTGGGCATTTGAGAATGAGGAATAATCAAAGAGCGCTTCCCTGAGGTCTTGTCCTTGAGTTGACCTTGAGAATGATGGGCTGGAAATCGTCAGGGAGATGGACCTATCAGGCAGAAGTATGTGCAGACGCTCGTTTGGGTTTTCATGACTAGAATACAGGCTACACATGGTGATAAGACTGGAGGAGTCCCTGGGGGTCAGACTGGGAAGAGCTCTGAAGTCCTTGATAAACAGGTTGAACTTTTAATTCTTTGAGGCAATGGGAAGCCATTTAGGGTTTTAAAAAGGATAATGAGTTGACCAGATGGCTTTAAGAGAGCGGCTTGAGAGTGGAGGCTGGGAGACCAGTTAGGCAGGAGCAGTCCAGAGATGAGAATAGGGTCTTTCTAGAACAGCAGCATTTGTGGTATATAGGGGGCGTGGCTAATAATAATTGTTAGTATTAATTAAGTACTTAGTCTATGCCAGGCCTGTGCTAAGTTTGATCTCATTTGATCTATTATATATTCCTACAATTCAAGAATACTATCCCCACCTTACAGAAGAGAAAAGCAGGGCTTAGAGAGGTTATGTCACTTTAATGAATTTGTTCAAGGTCACACAGCTGGGTGATGGCTGGGATTTGAACCCAGGTGGTTTAACTCCTAAACTTGTACTTGGAAGCATCATGATATAGTGCTTCCCTGCAGGGGATGCTGAGGAAGGTGAATCTCTAGGGACATATGAGATTATTGAGGTTGAGGGTGTCTCACCTGTTTTGGGCTCAATGTCATCCACTGAGCCAGGGGGGTTCTGGAGGGGGACTCATGAATAGATAGGGCGACACCAGTCTAAAATCTTTGGGACCATCTCGGAGATGCAGCCAGCCTGCCCTGTGCAAGGTTCTCTGTACTTGCCCAGGTACTTGGCCCCCAGGAACGACCAGTGGAAATGCTCCTGAATCCATGTGCGCTCCTGCAGTGATATTGAAATCCCCAACAGCAAGAGCAGCCCCTGACCATTGACCTGCGGATTCTTATGCAGCGAGAGACAAGGCTAAATCAGCGCTTCCGTTCCTTATTAATTTAACTCTGCTCATAGCAAAGTGTGAGTCAATAACAGACTAACCAGTGATTGACCCTGAGTCAGGAAGAAGCACTTGAACGTCGGCAGCAGTGTGCTTGGGATTACGCTGCCTTTCACGACCCTGCTTAGCGATTTAACTGCAAGCTTTTCCTCAAGACCTCACAACAGAAGCAGAACCGCGCTTCTCCTGTGAAGGAGGGAGGGATGGGAATGAGCAGTGTCGATCACCTATATGCCAGGCACACCGGAGCCTCATCGCCCCGCACCCGAGGCCGATCGCCACGTGCTCAGTATCTGGCTCCCGCCACCTGCAGCTCAGAGGAAACTCCACAATGCAGGTGTGACGTCTGGTTTCCCCTGGGGCTGTCATCAGAAGGTTCATCCAGAGGGTGAACTGTGACTAATGGAAGAAGGGAGAAGGAGGCAGCGAATCCCTCTCCTCTGTGTGAGATCCTTTTCCCCGGCTCACTACCTATTCAACTGACCAAATGAATGGATCTTGCAAGGCGTCACCTGACTCTCTTCACAGCTACGTGGCCAGCCTACTATGGCAGGAGGTCCGTGGCCAGCCTACTATGGCAGGAGGTCGTGTCTGCCTCCCCTACCTTTCTTCACTGACCTTTCCTCGCTCTGCTGCCCTGGGGTTGCATTTGGACTCTAGGCTCATCTCAGGCTCTGCTCTCTAAGGAATCTGGGCTAAGACATTATTCCTTTTCTTGTATTATTCCACACTTCAAAAGTAATAAAACGCAAAGGTCATAGTAGGTGCTCAGTGAACAGTGCCCACTAGTATCGACATTGCTACAGCCAAATTGTAATCACACCCTGTAAGTCTTGGGTCGGTTAAAGGAGAAGGAGTCCTAAATTATTGGGATTAGAGGAGACCTGAGCCGTGATTCGGTCCGAACTTGAAGTCAGTGATTATTCAGTAATGAATGTAAATGATAAAACTGAGAACTAGAGATTTTGCCTGGACTGGGGAGTTAGCGCCTGCGTTGAGAAATACACGGATCTTCCGTCGGTCCCGGGTTTCCGTGCCCGCCCCCGCTCCCCACTGCAGCCGAGCCCTGTCCGAGGGCGGTGGACTTACTGTCCACTGTGGTTCAGCTTGTCGTAGCGCAGGAAGAGGCCTGCGTAGATGGTCTCGGTGAGCAGGGCGTAGACGGCCGTCATAATGAGCAGCACAGCCAGCTTCAGCACCGAGTTCAGTCGGAGGAACACCGCACAGGTCACCATGGCCAACACCCCCGTGAAGACGAAGTACTGGAAACAGAGAATTCAGGTGGTCAGATTCAGCGGGAATGTGGGGGTTCACGCTCCCACTCACGGGTGCCAGTAGGTCTCCCCATCCGGATGGTCGTGAGCATCTCCCTCTGGAGGTCTCAGCCATCCTCAGTCCATCAGGTCCCAAAGTGAATACATCATGTCCTTACCACCTCCCCAGACCTCTGTGCCCTATTGGGGGAGGGGGGGTCACACCATTCCTCAAGCCGGAAACCTCGTCTCATCTCGAATGCCTTCGCCTCGCCCACATTCCACAGCCAGGTCGTCCTCAGCGGGAGCCTGCGTCCACCCTGGACCGCAGCCGGCCAGCTCTCTCCTCCCGCCTGCTTCCCTTCTCGTTCTCTCCTACAGTCATGGGGCGGTGCTCTGGCAGCTCTGCCCGATTCTTCCCCCCGCCCCGAGTACAGATGATCCTCCCACCCAGTATTTCTAACACAGATCCGATCATGTCACCCCTCAACTCGCAGTCCTGTTATTGCTCCCCGTTCCTTCACATTATGTCTCCTTTCTGGAGAGCGAAGCTCTGAAGACTATCATGTAGCGACGTCTCCCACTTTCCAAACCCCAGTGTATATTCCAGCCTCGTTGCCGGCCAGCCAGTCCCCGTGCCTCAGTGCTGGGCACCCCCGGAGAGCGATGCTCAAATCTCATCCATGGGGCTAAGCCTTACTCCTCCAACAAACTCAGGTGTCCTCTCTGAGACTTTCATGTGTATCTCCAGCTGCTTCTGGACACAGCCCCATCCTGCACAGCACCCTCAGAGCCCCGCATGGCACAGATCACCCTGCATCAGAAACAGCTGTTCGAACGGCCAGTTTGAACCGCTGAAGGGCTGGGTCACGCCAATGGCTCCCATGTATTGGTCTGCCCAGCCAGCTTTCGGCCTTCTGCAGAAAGTGCCTCGGTCTATTTCCCTTACAGAATACCCTAGCATAGCATTCTGGATGGCAGGTTTGGATTCTGACTATTCAGTGGGAAAAAAGAATCCAACTTGTATTACCAAAGACTCATTTGGTGGCAGTACTTTGCTCTTTGTACACATTTTCTCTTACAATTTTCAAAATAATTGGTCAAGAGGAGAATCATAATTTCTATTCTACAGGTGAAGAAACCGAAGCTCATAGAGCTTAAGTAAATTGTTTAAGTTCTCTTAGCTAGAAAGGGACACCAAGAACACCTGGATAGAACCTGTCCTTGCAAATGTGACTCTGGTAGGTATACTGGGCTTGACCACTTCTAAAATCCATTCCAGGCTTGGACACGGCTCTTTGTAACAACAGTCTTTTCTCTCCTACTACGCAGAGAGGCAGTTTCTGTATGGGCAAAGGAGGTGGGTAAGAATTTCCAGGAGCTCCCTGAGAAATGACTGAACACGTGTTTATTGATTTCTTAAAGCAAACAGACTCATTCATGTATACTTGCAAGAAATATTGACATCAACAAATACAGATCGCACCCTGGCTGAGTTCCAGGTGAGGGCAAAGACCTGTGCCTTCAGGGTGCACAGGATAGACGCAGAAATGAATGACTGTCCCTGCCTTCAGAAGTCCCATGCCTGGGATGTCCTTTATTCTTGTCTCTTCCTTTCCCAGTCAATTAAATTATGTCCTATCGCAAATGGAATGATACGCTTTCCTCAATTCTCCTTTAAGATCTTGCCTTGGCAATATTTGTAGGCAACTCATTTTGGTGCCTTTGGGCAGGAAGTGGTGGGTGAAGTGAGCAGGTGATGAGTTCATTCTCGAGTTTATTGTTTCATCCGGAGAAACCTCTAAGACCTTCCGTTTTCCACATGGAGGAAAGAGGAACAGGTCCGAGGGCTTCTGTTCTGCTCATGGCTTTGTCAGTTTCAGTCGTGAGTCACTTATTAGGTCAAGAGCCATAGAAGTGGCCATGCCCTTAAGCAAAAAGTTATTAAATTTTAAAAATGTAGTAAGTATTTCTGGAGTGCCCGCTGTCATCAAGGCAGGGTGGTAGGCACCGGGAACTCAGAGGTGAGCAGGAGATGGCCCGGGCCTCGTGGGTGAGGCAGGCAGGAAATGCCCACAGCAATGCACCGGCGACAATGTGAGCTCATGTGATGGGAACACAGAGGCAGGGGCAGACGTGAGAATTAAAGTGATGAGAGAAATAAATGAAAACTAAACGTCTATGGGGTATGGTCCTCCATGAATACCTATATGCTTCATCTTATTTAATTCTTAAAATGACCCGAGGACAGATGCTAGGGGTAATTAATTATTGCACTCTACTGAAGCAAGGCCCTTCTGATTATCCTTCCTAATGCCTCTGGATTATGATGTTTTTCAGTCTGGCTGGTGGGGAAAAAAAACAGTTTCCAGCACTGTGTGAGCGCCAGGCACGAATCCTCTCCATCGGCTCGTCTTCCAGCACCAGGGGGCTCCGCACCTGCTCTGGTGGGACCCTCGGCAGGTCTCTGGGTTCCTCTCCGTGCAGCTCTCTTCACTCAGCCCTGCAAACCGAGCCGCCTGGTCTCCCCAGACTCTCAGCTGTGCCTTCTCAAATCAGGGAGTCCACGGGGTTCCAGCGGGGTGCCCCCAGCCCGAGCCACGGCCTGAAAACTCCTGTAGGCCAGCCAGTCCCGGGGCTTGCTCTACCGCTTCTGGTTTTCCGGGATCACTGACCTTCACTGCCTGACACCGCGTCTTCAAAACGATTGCTGCATACATGTGGTTTGTGTGCTTTTAGTCATTTTGGGTGGGAAGGTAAATCATTTCTCTGCTTCTTCCTTGGAAATATGCCTTTTTTATTTGTTTTTTATCCTCACCCAAGGACATTTTTGCATTTATCTTCAGATAGAGTGGGAAGGAGAGAGAGAGAAACAAACATCGATGTGAGAGAGACACATCGAATGGTTGCCACCCACATGACCCCAACCGGGGCCGGGGACAACTGCAACCAAGGTACGTGTCCTTAGCGGGAACCGAACCCGGGACTCTCTGGTCCGCAGGCCGACGCTCTAACTGCTGAGCCAAACCAGCCAGGGTGGAAATATGCTTTTTGAAAAAGAAAAATAACTAAACACACACTGTGGGCTCTGTCCCTGGAATAATCTTGAATACCTATACAGTGTTGTAATCTGAAAGAAAATTACACATTTGGAGGTCTGGGAAGAATGTTCTAGTGAGATAAATACGTTACAGGAAGGACAGAGTGTGAGCACTGAGATGCTCCCAGAGGGTGCGTGAAACGGCAGGAAGGGTCCGAGGGACTGGCCCTCCGCAGGATTCATTTTCACAAGGGAAGCTTGAAGGCTGGGCAGGGCCTGAAAACACGGAGAAGTAGGAGAAAGCGGCGGGGTGCGGAGACAGGCAATCACCCCACGGGAAGCAGCCTGGGGACCTTCACAGCCGTAGACGACTCCGAGTGCGCCGGCAGCACGGCTGGCTGCTCGTCCAAACCTGCCCGAGCTCTGACCAGGGGCCTGGATTCCAGAATCGTCTTCCTGCCAAGCGCCCGAGAACCGCGCTCAGGTGTCTGAGTTACCGACAGTGTGGGTTTGTGCGTGTGATCTGCAATCATTGTGCAAACCTGTGTCTCTCCCCCCAGCCCCACCCAGGCTACTGCTGGAATCACGATGGAATATGCTTCCTTCAGGGTCCTTCCCTTCCCTTCGCTCGTTCTTTCGGTAATTGCTAAGCTCCGGTTCTGAACTAAATTCTCCTTTAACCACATATGGTAACGACCGCTTCCGTTCATATCCCATCCTCTGGTCTAATGACATGCCTTTGAACTGAATGCCGTTTCTCATGGGGTGAGGTCAGAGGTCAGAGACACAGACGAGGAAGCCGATGCTCAGAGAGGTGAAGCCGTCTGCTCGGGGACACGTGTGAGGGATGGGAAGGGTGCGCAGATCAAGCCTTTTAGAAGGTCTGGGTGTCCGATTCCTTCCAGTTGGCTGAACGAATCCTCAGGGAGGGAACCACAAACACAGGATGGCAACTGGTGGGGCAAACTGGGTTGTCATGGTAGCCGGTGACGGACACAGTCCAGCTCCCCATCTTTTAGACCAGTGGGATCCCTGCCCCAGAGGGCAGGTCAGGAGCTGGCATCAGTATAGGGTCTAAAAGAGCCAGACCGTAAACACCTTTGGCTGAGTGGGCCACGCCATCTCTGCAGTAACGACTGAGCTCAGCCGTTGTAGTATAAAAGCAGCCGTAGGAAACTGGTAAGAACTGGGTGCGACCGTGCCCCGATAAAATTTTAGTTATGAAACAGGTGGCTGGCAGAGTTGGGCCCGTGGGCACGGTTTGCTGACCCCTGAACAAGATGATCCCTTGGTTGTGGAGGGGCAATAGAAAACCCTGGTTCATTTCTCTCATCTCCCTTTCTAGCACTCTCTTCGGTGAGTGCTTCACAGTGCACGTGGTGTTAGCGCACTGGCCCAGGCACGCGACTTAGCGTATACTGGCCTGCAGGCCCCACCGCTGTGTACGAGAAAGCACACAGCACAGCGGACGTTTAATGAGCTGATACTGGGCCAGGGGCCGCTCTCAACACTTCATGTGCGTGAATTCGCTTCATCCTCACAGCCCCCCCGCGGACGGTGCCACTTTCACCCTTCAGGTGACAGACGAGGAAGCGGAGACGCAGAGATGGAGCTGTGACCGGAGACCTTACCCGCCCTGAGGGCCGTAGTCCTGAGTCCAGAGTTCAGGTGGGGGCCCAGGCCAGACAGTCGACTGAGAATACACCGAGGCCCAGATTCAGTAGTTCATGAGCATCCACTTCACGTGAGATGTCATGTTACAAACTCCGCCTTCGCTAGCTCACCTGGGCAGTCACCCCGAGAACGTGAGGTTCCTTACCTCCGTGACAGCCACGGGGAGAAGGTATTATTTCCCCCATTGTACGGGTGAGGAAGCTGAGGTTCAGAGAGAATAAGAATCATTCCAGATTCTGCTGCTGGCAGTGAAGGGGCGCATTCAGCTCTTGCCTGGCTCTAAATATCTGACTCTTGGCCCACTTACTGCCTCTGGGTCCTTCCTCATGCCCTCCACACCAGTTCTCAGGGAGCTGGTGTCCCACAGAGTCCACGACACTGGAGCTCACTCATTACTTGCTGGGAGAGCCCGTGGCCTGTCCCATGCAGCCCTGGACTTCCTTAAGGGCCACTTCTTCCCTAGGGACTGAGCCTGGTTCAGACACACGGGCCCACGAATAAGCCAGATACCGTTTGCGCTGCAGTACCAAGTCTTGATACAGAAGTAGGAAGAGAAGGATGGAAAGAAGGAAGGAGGAAAAGGAGTGAGGAAGGAGGAGGCAGGCAGCAGTGGCTCTGGGCATGTTACTTTCTGAGCCTTCGTTTCGTTATCTGTGAAGGGCAGATGGTCACAGCCCGCACCCCAGACATCCTGAGGACCTCATGATGTGATGCATGTCAAGTAGAATGATGCTCTACGCACGGGGTGGGGGGGGGTGAGGCTTTCTCTCCTTTCCAGACATTTCTCACACCAACTCTGGGCCTAGGTCCTCCACCCTCTCTCTGTCGGAGAGGGTCTCAGAGAACAAGAGCCCACTCAGCGTCCTCAGGGAATAGCCTTGGTGGGGGTCTGCTGGGATGTCCCAGCTGTCCTCCCTCCCCACCAGCACTCTGTCCCGATGTGCAAAGGTCTGGACCCTGACTAGTCCTTTGCCCAGCCCCGTAGGCTGACCCTGAGGGCCAGGGCCAGACCAGTGGCTCTGTTGCCAAGAGAGGGTCAGACTTACATGACAACGGTAGGTGTCCTCTTGGGGCACATCTGACCCTGTAGTGTTCCACCCACTGTCCACACCACTTCGACTGAAGTTCAGTTATTTCCTGCTTTTGTGAGTCACTAGCCTCCTTCGTTCTTAATCCTTCCTTCCTTCCTTCCTTCCTTCCTTCCTTCCTTCCTTCCTTCCTTCCTTCCTTCCTTCCTCCCTCCCTTCCTTCTTCCTTCCTTCCTCCCTCCCTTCCTTCTTCCTTCCATCCTCCCTCCCTTCCTTCTTCCTCCCCTCCTTTCTGTTTTTCCCCTTTCCTCCCTTCCTTCCTCCCTTCCCCCCTTCTTGTTTTTCCTCCCTCCCTCACTTCCTTTCTTTTTCCCTCCCTTCCTCTGCTCCTTCCTTTTTTCTTCCTTCCCTCCCTTTCTCCTTTTCTTCCTTCCCTTTTCCTCCCCCTCCCTCCTTTCCTTCCTTCCTTTCTGACTTCCTCCCTCCCTCCCTTCTTCCTTCCTTCCTACCTTTCCCCTACCTTCTCTGCTCCTTTCCTTCTGTCTCCCATCCTTCCACCCCTCCGTCCTTCTTCCTTCCCAGCTTCCCTGTGCTTGCAGCCATCACCCTCTGAGCAGTAACTGCGCTCTGCCCTCTGCTGGTGACAAGGGCACATCTGCTTTGGGATCTAGGAGGAGCTGGTGGGAATGACGGGAGGAGAATGGAGAGGGGACGGTGAAGAGAGAAGACGTGGAGGGAGGAAGAGGCAGAAAGAAGTGGGGAAGGTCAGCAGTGGGAAAGGCAGAGGAGGGAGCAGGGAAGAGAGGGGGAAGCGGAAGAAACAAGGAGAGCAGGAGAGGGGAGGAGGAGGGGAGGAGGAGGGCGGAGGAGGGGAGGAGGAGGGGGGAGGAGAGCGAAGGAAAGGGGCCTCCCGTGCCTCTGAGGCCCGTCCGGGAGGAGCTGTCGAGGCCCCAGCCTGCCAAGGGAGCTTGTGAATAAATAAATACCTCTGGGTAGGAGCAGATATCTGTAAACACAGCTGAGGAATTGAAAGTCAGGTTCTTCAAGGGTATCGACTTGTCAAAATCACACCACAGCTGCGGATTAAAAAAAAAAAAGAACAACAACAAAAAAACACAGGAACAACAAAGTCAGTGTGCAGCTGGAGAGGAGCGTGCTGTCAGCTGGGCTGGGGCGAGCGGGCGCCGGTGCCAGGGGCTCGGCTGGGCTGCAATGGGCGCTCCCCTCCTCCAGAGGGAGGGCTGGCTGGGCTGCAGTGGGCGCTCCCCTCCTCCAGAGGGAGGGCTGGCTGGGCTGCAGTGGGCGCTCCCCTCCTCCAGAGGGAGGGCTGGCTGGGCTGCAGTGGGTGCTCCCCTCCTCCAGAGGGAGGGCTGGCTGGGCTGCAGTGGGTGCTTCCCTCCTCCAGAGGGAGGGCTGGCTGGGCTGCAGTGGGCGCTCCCCTCCTCCAGAGGGAGGGCTGGCTGGGCTGGCAGTGGGTGCTCCCCTCCTCCGGAGGGAGGGCTGGCCAGGAAAAGCTCTGGGAGCCAGGGAGAGGCCGGTGGAAACTACTCCGCTGGTGCCACCACACAGGAGCCCAGGAGTGCCCTCGGGCTCGGAAGAGAGCAGGGATGGCAGAGGAGAGGGCCGAGTGTGTACGCAGCCTGTGTCCACCCGCCGCAGGGAGGATTTGAGGGACCCGAGGGGGCACTGGGGTGGCGGGCGATTCTCAGCCCAGAAAGTGCCGCAGGGGATTTCTGTGGTGCTCAGGAAAGAACAGCTCATTGGCTGAAGGCCTCCTCTGTGCCAGACACTTCATACGAAAGAAAAACAAAACGCAAAAAACCCCTCACAGTCACCTTGTGATGTCGCTACTGTTTTTATCCCCATTTTACAACTGAAGAATAGGAAACTCTGAGAAGTAAAGTAACTTGTCCAGGGTCACGGAGCTGATAGGAGCTGAGATTTGAACGCAGGTCTATCTGACTCCAGCGCCTCTGAGCCCCCTCCCCCCCCACCGTGGTACAGCTGCCCGAGGTAACCCCGCCTTGGAGTCGCTGGGCTCCCTGCCAAATCCCACACCCCAGAGATCTCCGACTGTCCTGGCAAGATCCTGGCTACCACCCTGAGCGCTGTGATCAAGGGTCCCATGTACTGCCATGTTCAGGTGCCGCCATCTCTAAAACATGCATCTGATGACAAGTCTAATTCGACTATGATTTCCCTTTTTTTTTTTATCCCATAAAGTCCTTTACTTCAAGGCCTACAGCAGAGCTTGAGCAACACAGACTCTAAGTAATTACTGGGCCAGTTTGCACGATCGGTTTCACGTAGTGTGATCCTGCAGCAAAAACTGACACTGTGGGCCCCTGAGCGCGTGGAGACCCTCCTTCAGACCCAGGGGGCACAGTGATGGTTTCGGTCACCAGGCGAGGCCTCCACTAGCCCCTCTCCATGTGCCAAGTTCAAAATGTGGGGACAGATAAACCACTCCTACCCTCCACTAGGTCCCTAGGTCCTGAGTAAACACACAGACAGCGCCTACGGCTACTATGTTACCATTCCAGAGAGAGAATGACGTCATTGAAACATGGATCACCCGATTCAAAACCACGATAAATATGGCAGTTGGAGAGTCATCGCAGTTCGATGTGTCACATCCAATAGTAACTTTTAGAAAGTCACGGGCAAGATGCTCAACCTTCCTGAAAAGCGGTTTCCTCGCCCATTACATGGGAACAGCAATACCTACCTGTGGCCCGTGGCGATGCTCAGTAAGTGATCGCTACTTATTTCCGTTCCGCCCACTCCCATTCCCGGGGGTGCAATTTAGCAGATGAGAATGAGCAGGAGTCATGGAGTCAGACAGACCTTATTAGCAAGTTATTTCATGTCTCTGAGCCTCAGTTTCCTCAGCCATAAAGTGGGGATAGTGAGACTTACCTCACGGGGTTTATGTGAGGACTAAATAGGAAAAATGCGCACGGCCCCCCCTCCAGTGCGTGGCACACAGCAGGTGGGGGCTGAGTGAATGGCAGCTTTGAGTTACCATGGCAACGGATGTGGCAGGGCTGGACCATGAGGGACTTTGGAGCTCCTTTGCAGCCAATAACCCTTCCCACTGGGAAAAACAGTCTGCCACCGGTAAAATGCCCAGTTCTGACAGTAGCCACATTTTGTGCCCTGTCCCTAAGCTTGGGGCTGGAGCAGGCACATGAAGGTCCCTGGTACCCAGGAAGTCAATGCACGAAGCTGCAGCTCCACAAACTCTGGGCTCCCGAGAGCACCCTGGAGGCCAGAGGGCGGGCGGGCTTGGAATGCTTACGATATTGAGGATGGCGCCCAGGAAGTTAATCAGGATGGACGCGAAGATGATGACGTTCCGGGCCAAGTAGGTCTCGTTGATCCAACAGCAAGTTTTCCGGAGCACGAGGGGCAGACACTTGTAATCCTCAGCCGTGGTGATGAGGACCAGGGCCGAGTGCAGCATGATCAGGATGGAGAACTGGATGGCCATGGGCATAGCCCTGCAGAGAGACACAGAGTGTTGGGTCATGGGGCTTCCGTCCTCTGACTCCCCACTGGCTGGGCGATGCTGTCAGTCACGTCCCTACCCCTTGGTTCTAATCATTCCTCTGAACCCCTATTTGTTTAAGAAAAGGGCTCTCGCAGGAGGTATTTTTTTGTTGCACCCATTCCTGGAGTATTCTCCTGATTGGGAAGCTTGGCCGCGAACATCAGCTATTTGGCTTGCTGTATCGCTCCTGCCCAATTGAGCCACCTTTGCCGTTCAGCTTTTTCTCTCGGCCAACCACCACCAGCAGCAGAACACTGGAATGTTCTCAAAACTCTGGGTGTGGGAGGGACCCCCACGCTGTTTCCCCTTTGGGTGGGTTTTATGAAACATGTTCCCTCATGGTCTGCTCCGATGCCAGCCACCAAGCCTGGGACCCGTTCCAAGCTGCCCAGCTCGGGGAGCAGTCACCACGGTGTGCGTGGAGTGTACCATGTGCCGTTTGGGATGTGGGTGGGGGTGCCCTTGCCCAAGGCCCATCACTCCCAACTGTACTGTACATCTTGGGCCTCAAGCTCCCACCGAAGCTCTTGCCACGGTAACTCCTGTCTAGTGGCTATGTCTGCTGGGGGTCGGGCTGCTTCTGGTGACTCAGTTGACCTAAAACTCCATCTCTGGAGGGGCCGTTGACTGCTTCTTCTCCTGAGCAAAGGTAATTTAGGAAATGTGGTCAGAATGGCGGGACAGGGACAGTACATGGCCTTGTGACAGCCAGGGCAGGGAAGACCTTCAGAAGGAGGGAGTCACCAAGCCTCCAGCTCCCTCTGCCCGGGCAAGCATCAGGAAGGCCAGGAAGCGACTCCCCCCAACCCCCGCCCAGTCTTCACTGTTGCAGGTTTTAGTATTTTCTTTCCTTTGTGAATACTGGTACCGTTGTGATTTTATGGATCGCCTTGGCAGGAAATCTCTGCAGGAGTTCTAGAGAACAGAAGGTCTGTGCAGCAGTGGGTTCCCAGAGGGCTCTGGGCTGATAGGAAGGTTCCCCCAAACAGGCTGGTCACATGCCATTATTCCTGGGCCGCAGGGGAGACAAAGGAAGGAGAATACAGGTGGATCGCTGTCAGGCTGTCCCAGGAGAGAAGGGGCCGATGCCAAGGCTGTTGCGTCTCAATGATGGGAGGCAGCCACGGGGAATATAAACATCTTGTTTTAAGTGAGGCAGAGCCGACCGGGCAAAGGCAGTTAGAAAGCTGCCCGGTTCTGTGGCCCCCGCTGCCGTGCAGGTGGAGTCTCCGTGGCGTACAGGACCTAGAGCGGCTGCCTCTCCCTCTCTCTCATCTGTCTGCCCGTGGGCAACAGTCGGGCACACGCCCTCAGTGCTACGCTCCGTCTACCTCTGCTCCCCACGGGACGCTGGTGCTCGCGCTCCGGGGAGTGGCCTGCTCGGCCTCCAAGGTGCAGCTTCTCTCTGGATCCTTCCATGACACCTGGCGCAGGGCTGAGAACATGGGAATGCTCGATGAATACTCACTGACTTAGCTCCGAGTGGGGAGAGAAGAGTATTCTTCCCCTCACCAGCCTTCGAGGGGAGGAGAATTCCCACCCACGCTCCCGGCCGCTCTGTCCAGCCCTTGCTGCCTCCTGTTCTCAGGAAGGACACGGTCGCTGTTAGATGTCAGTGTTTGTGCGAAATTCAGATGCTTGTCCTCTCTTCCTCCTAGACCCCCGGACGGGCGGGAAGCCACAGCCTTGACCTTCGCTGTGGGAAGGAGCCTGGCCAGCTCTTCTCATTGGCACCCGGGGCTGCAGTGAGACCCCACACTGGAGTTGAACGGTAGCTGGGGAGCCAGGCAGAGACCCCAGAGATTCAACAAACGCCACGTGCTCTCTGATCACAGCCACACCCTGCTCCAGTGTTCCCCATTGATGCTTAAGCACAGCATTGTCTCGGAACTTTATAAAACAGATGCTTTGCTGCCCAGGTAGCTATTGTGCTTTTGCATGTACTTTTGGTGGGGTGCCAGGGTGTACTGGAGGGCTGTGTGGGGGCATTTGCACACACAGCCACCTGAGTGAGTCCCTAACAGAGCTGGGGTGATCAGCACTTCCTTCTGGGTCTGCTGAGAAGAGGACAGGGAGGGGCAATGGACTGAAGGCTTGTGTCCCCCAAATCTGTATGTTGAATCCCTCTGCCCAGTGTGATGGTGTTCAGAGTTGAGGTCTCTGGGAGGTGATTAGGTCATGAGGGTGGGGCCCGCATGAACAGGGTTAGTGCCCAGAGAGCCCCCTTGTCCCTCCTGCCATGTGAAGAGCATGCAAATACCGTGTATGAACCAGGAAGAGGGACCTCACCCGGCACTGCATGAGCCAATGCCTTGACCTCGGACTTCCAGCCTCCAGGACGGGGAGAATAAACGTCTAGTCTATAAGCTCCTTGGTCTATGGTATTTTTTTAATAGCAGCCTGAACCGACTAAGACAGGTGGCGAAAGGCGGCATTTGGTCCCGCAGCGAGAGCAGAGCCTTGGGCAAGGTCACTCACTTCTCCGAGTAGCACTTTTTAATGAGCAAACCTGGGATTTTTACGCTCACCTCTTCAAGACGTCCAAGTGACAAAGCAGTGGGATGCTTAGCACACGATAAGAACTAAAGACGCGTTCCTCTCTTTCTCTATTCGTGGTGACATGCAGGAAACCAAAGGCGTCCTGGGGACCTCTGGGGAGAGGGTTGGTTACAAGCCAGCCACGGGCAGTGCTGTGTCCCTGCGGAAGCCCCGCTGCAGCTCCGCAGCGCCCACTGGTCTCTGCTCGTCAGCTTGTGACGCCAGCCTGTGACGTGTGTCTAATTATAGAGCTCCCCAGGCGGCCAGAGCTCCGAATTTGCTTTTGCATTGTTGGTGCACATAAGAGGCAAGGAAGCCTTTCATTTCTGAAATCGAGTCTGAAACAGGGCTTTGCCAACAGCTCCATCCAAATCCCTCTGGACACCGTGTTCTACTGATGTTCTGCAGTCTGTCTTGAAACAGGGTCTGGATTGGTAGCACGAGCTGATGTTTGCTGGGGAGGCAGGATCAGTGGGGTGAGTGGACGTCCTACCGCCATGGGAAGCAGAGACTCAGATCGTGCTGATCGGCGACATCCATGCCACCCTTTAATCTGCGAAGAGCCGAGGAGGCCAACAGTGCCCTTGACCCTGTGAGCAGCCCCGAGAGGAAGGTGCTCTTCGCTACTTCAGCAGGTGAGCTCTGCGGCTCAGAACTGATCAAAATGGATATGGCTGGTTTCATTCCGACGCCAAACCTGGGAAGCTGGCACGGTTATTCCCATTTTATAGCTGAGAAAACCGAGTCTCCAGAGAAGTCAAGAGCACACATTCAGCTAGTAAGATGCACAGAAAATAAGACCCAGCGCCCCTCCCTGTCTCTCTCATCACTATCGATGCAGCCTTAGATACATTATCATAATTACAAAAGGTATTTTCTGGTCCTTCCTCAGTTTACCCTCTGGGAGAGGGACATCCTTGCATGTGGAACGAGCCGAGCCAGCACCAGCGGTCCGTGCCGGGGTCCCTTCCTTTCCTCTGGGGGCGGGGAGTTGGCTGCGGTCATCTGAGCAGGCTGCCTCATCTGCTAGCACGTCCGTGGCAGGAGAGAGGGGGTGAAGGGCACCTACCACCGGTTCGGGGCCAGGAATCAATCAGAAGCAGCGTGAGTTCCGGAGAGGAAACGCAGCCACGATGAAGGAAGTTGAATGTGTTTGGGGCAAAGGGGCACCCGATTCCTACAACACGTGGACGGTCTGGCCAGAGCTCTGACTTTCTCCACGGTCGGGCTTTTCTCTCCTCTGAGCCGGTGGGGTTGGGGTACTGGCTGGGATTTCAGGTACCGGCTTCAGCTTACACCTCGGAGTCAGAGGCTCCGTCTGGCCTACTGCTGGGGGCCTCTGGGTCTGTTCCCCCTGAAACCAGGAGTCAGGCGTCCAGGCTGGCTCGTTCCACCTGGAAAGGGCACCCGGGGAATGCCATGTCCTCTCCTGAGGGGCACAGTGGCCCCTCCCGTCCCAAGGCCGAAGCCAGACCCTCACCCCATCCCGGGCTCCTCTCCTCTCTCATCGCCCACACTCAGTTGGTCCTGGCAACTGCCAACTCTGCCTCCGAAATACCCAGCTAATCCCTCCTCCCCAGTCCGCTTTGCCCCACTCTGTCCTCGCTGTTAGCTCTTGCCTGCAGCTTTGCGATTGCCTCCTAATTGGTCTTCCTGACCCAGACCTCACCACTCCTGTCATATCCCACGTCCAGTGGGAGCCTTCTAAGCACAAACCTGATCACTTCTCTGATGAATGTCTCACTAGTCACCTCTTTGTTTTGGTACATCTCTTCCCACCAGTCCCGGTTCCTCATGACGACGCACAGACCTCAGAGGGGCAGCTGTCAGGGGAGCGGGGAGCGGAGATCGAGGCTGTCGCATCCCAGGGAGGCCTACTTTGATTTGGGTTCTTGTGTTCGTTACTATTGGGAGAAAGGGCTCCTGCCTTGGCAGAATAATGAGATTATTACACAGGGTAAGACCACCGGCATAGACACTGATACTGTCACACGTTTCGGTGTGGATCCTGGAGCCCTTGTTTTAAATCCTGACCCCTGCTGAGGTCAGCTGGCTGGCTCCAGGTGGGGGACCATAGCTCGCAAAGATTTCACCTGATAACGTCCTTTCGAATTTACCTTGAAGAAGGAAGCAGACTTTGAATTGCCGTGATAAACAGGAGAACGATAAATGCACAGACCAAGTTTGACTTGAACACTTCGTCCCTCATTTGAGAATACTGCAATTAAAAGAAGGAGAATAAATTACTTCCAGCACAGCTGGGCACGTGCAAGAGTTCAGTTTTACCAATGTTCGGAGTTGAGGGGAAACAGCAAGAAGAGACAAAGCAAATAAAGTTTCTTTTGTTTGCTTTCTTCATTAAGAGGAATCCGTAGTTACGGAACCGGAACCGTAACTGCAGATTCCAACCCTCCCCCCGATCTCTGAGTGAGAGCCCAGGACTAAATACAATTCCCTTCACAGTCGGGACACATGGGGCAGGGACCCGGCATGAGCTCAGCCCTTTCTGCTCCCGCCGAACTAACTCCATTTTGACAAAACAGAAGAGCACACACCCATATATTTAGCAAATCAAATTCACATTGACTGTCTTCATGAGTAAACTTAAGTCATTTAAGGATCTTGCTCGAGGTCTTGTCCAGAGGGGGACACAGGGAAATGTTTGACCAGAGAGCCTTCCTGCCTCCCTTTCCATGAAACTATTGAGAAATAAATTCATGGACTCTTCGAACAGAAAGTAGCCTAAGAGAACTCCAGCAAAGACTGCCTTTTCTTGTTTTTCAATTGTTTGAACCTCCTTATCTTTTTTTTTTTTTCAATAGTAGCTTTGTAGTTTATTGGTTTGCTTATAAAAATAACAATTTTTTCCAGATTGCAAAATAATCATAGAATGACAGTGTTGGACAATATAGAGAAGCACACACACAAAATGTACTTATAATCTCAATGCCCCAGAAATAGCACTTGTTAAATTACCATTTTGGTTTATAATCTGTCCTTTTTTTCTTTGCTTTTCTTTTTTGTGGAATCGAGGATTAGTTTAAAATTTTTAAAAATTAACTTACATTTAAATTGAACAAGGGCGGCCCTTTCATTTCACACGAGAGAAACCAAGACCGACGGACCAATAAGCGTGATGCCCTCTGCCGTCTACTCGAACAGCCCTGGGGACTGGCGGTCACTTTATTTTGATTATCCAGAGTGCTCAGTAATTTCATTACCCAGCCTTAAAAGCTTCCGGAAGGTCAGCACTGAATGTGTACTCGCCTTAGTCCTGCCTGGTTTCCCGAATCGTCTTGGAGTCATTAAACTGAGGAATAATCCAACTCATTGAAAAGGTGGAAAGGATTTTTAAAACTGAAAAAGACGTTAAAATTAGCCTAAACTAAGCTTCTCCTTTTACCTTCATGCCAGCGAGGTCTAGTGACTTGCCACAGGTCACACAGCACACAGATCATTTTTAGCAGGGGCGCGGGGGAGCCGAGGGAGGGGACAGAAAGTGAAGCTTTATTATTATTATTATTTTTTTATCCTCACTGGACATTTTTCCATTTTTTTGTTCAGGTAGAGTGGGAGGGAGAGAGAGGAACAGAGAGAGAGAGAAAAACATCGATATGAAAGGAACACATCGAGTGGCTGCCTGCCACCCACACAACCGACCAGGGCCGGGGACAAACTGCAACCGAGGTACGCGCCCGTAGTGGGAACCGAACCCGGGTCTCTCCAGACCGCAGGCCGACGCTCTAACCGCTGAGCCAAACCGGCCAGGGCAGCAAGTGAAGCTTTAGAACTGGCTAGTCCCTGATTTGAATTTCCCAGAGTCCCTTTATGAAGGAAGCCAGTAAACAGCTCTCACAATGCCTCAGTTTCTCTGTCCTCAACACCAAGAGAGGGTAAAGGTCGTCAGTGAGAAACTAAAAGGAGTCCCACCTCTTGTTGGTGTGGTGGTCACAGTCCGCAGTCGGCGATTTTTAGTCTCTCGCCTACTGCTTGGTGTGGGCTGGGTTTTAGGGTGCACTTGGCGAAGACTCGGGGAAGGGCAGTGGTCTGTGGCTGGTGACCCCATGGAGAAGCTCAGTGCCGCTCAGGGGTGCACTCCGGTGGCAGGGCCGTGCCTGTCCTACTCTCCTGTCCTGAGGCCCCTGTCCTCGTTCCGACAACCTGCTCGGGATCTGGAGGCAGCCGGCAGCCGCTCGGAAGAGTCACTGGGAGCCGCCCTCACTGCGGACACCACCCTAGACAAGCCACGATACTGCGGAAAGTCCTAGGGCCCGACGCCAGCTTGGAAAGAAATGTTAGCCGCAAAGCCGGTCCCGTGAAGAAAGGGTGTGTCTGGATCCCTCTCAACAACCAACCGCACACGACGGACTTCTTCTCTGTTGGCTGACTGATTGATTTCGAACCCGCCTGGCTATAGAGATCTGATAATGATATTTTTAAAACAACAGTAATATTTTTTTTTTGAGTGTACTTAATTCCTCTCTTCCACCTTTCTTCATCTTCACCGTCATCATCATAGTCACTGTCGTCGTCAGGAACTCATCATTACTGGCATGGTCACAGCGGCCTGGACTTTAATGGACCCGCCTTCAGGAGTTCTTTCCGTAACATCCTTGATATCTCCTCAGATGCTGGCTGCCTGTGTCCAGGTGACCTTCTCTGCTTTGTTGGAGGAGCAGGGTTCTTTGCTCTGAGCCGGGGCAGGACATTCCAGGGGTTTGAACACCCTCAACTTGAACACTCCCAGTGCCGGGGAGCTCACTTCTTTGCAAATATTCCTTCAATGCTTGGCCCGTTCTCTGGGTGAAAAGGTCCTTTCCTATAGATCCCAAGCCTGAGTCTCTGACTCCTTTCCTGAATATTTCCTACTGATGACTTTAAAAATGTTACATAATCATCATTCGTCCAGCCTACAGTTGCATATGATCTTTTTTACATTTTCTTCCAATGGCAAGCTGGGTGGAGACCAAGCGGGAACACTCACTTTGCCTCCAGACCTTCCACCGTCGGTGTTTCGCTGGGAGCCAGCACCCTGGCAGCAGTACCTGCGACAGCTGTCAATGGGGCTGACACCAATGAAAAGGGCTTGGCACTTGGAATCAATTACAAGGGCTTCCTTTGAGAACGTAGAATTGAATTAGTATTGTTTTTCAATCGATAGGGTTTTGGTTGATTCAGGAAATGGCCAAAATCTTATGTAACAAGTTGGAGTGATAATGACTACTAATTAGGGAATTTAACCTCTGTTCTGTTGGTAAGTTCATGCACTTTGCACCTACTCCACTATGCTACATGCTTTACACGAATGATGTCATTTAGTTATGACAACACTTTGGGGAGAGCCTATTTATCATATCCTCATTTTGCAGAAAATGAAATTGAAGATTAGAATGATTGAGTAACTCAAGCAGGACTTTACAGATTTTAAGTAGGGAATCCAAAACCTTTGACCCCCCCCCCCAGCATAAGGCCTCATTGGCTGCTCCACCTGCCGCATCCTTGCTACTTTCAAAAAAAGGTCATCTTCTTCGTTGGTCCACAGTAGTATGTCTTGGTATATTTCAATGATGTGGCTTATGATACAAAGAAAAAAGTTTCCTACTTGATTTGATCAGGTTGAGAATAGGAAGCGAGACAGAAAAAACTTGTGTTCCATTCTGGTCATGGGTGAGGATGTCGCCTTGATGCTTTCGGGAGGCATCTCCAGAAGTGAAGTCAGAGCCATGCGGGTCTGCCACAAGGAAGCCTGGAACACAGGTCTGAGCGCACAAAGGAGAGCCATTCTGGATTCTTCATCCGGGAGGGATGGACAGGAAGGCCAGCTGGCAGAAGTGATGGACAGATCCTCTATGTTTCTGTGTCTAAGACAGGTCTGGAAAATCTTCTTAGGCGTGTGGGAGGAAAGTCACCATACACGCCTAGGTTCTCCCCTTTGACTATGAGACAAAGGGTACTAAATTCTTTACAAGATGTAAGAATGCTTCTAACCCAAGCAGTTATCTAGTTAGTGGCCCAAACTACAACCACATTTTGTCCAAGTGTGCATGTTGTGATTACAAAATTTTATAGGTGCAGTGGATTGTATTTGTTGCCTTAGTCTTACTCTTCTTTTTCTTTTTTTTTTTTTTTATCCTCACCTGAGGACATTTTTTTCCATTTTTTGTTCAGATAGAGTAGGAGGGAGAGATAGGAAGAGAGAGAGAGAGAAACATCAATGTGAAAGGGACACATCGAGTGGCTGCCACCCGCACAACCAACCAGGGCCGGAGACAAACTGCAACCAAGGTACATGCCCTTAGCGGGAATCGAACCCGGGTCTCTCTGGACCACAGGCTGATGCTCCAACCGCTGAGCCAAACCAGCCAGGGCAGTGTTACTCTTCTTAATGCCAATTTTACACAGTAAATCTCTCAGAAATGAGCCATTAACTCCTGCCTGCACATTTCCAGTGATGGGGGAAATCAACCCTTCACTTGAGAACCCATTTCATCTTTGAATAAACCTAGTTTGCAGAGAGATAATTGCCTAGCATATCTTTCATTAGTATAAATTAATATGTTTGTTAAATTAAAGAAGGATCTCAGCTGGGACAATCTGCTCATTTTTCATGAGTGAATGAGGGAATTTGACTTCCTTCTATCATGAATTCACGCATCACGTAGCGCGGCAATGGCTAGAGCGTCCTTCAATTAGACCGATTGGGTAAAATGCATAATTGCAATAAAAGTTTGAGGGACTAATTTTCAATGATTTCCTATTCTGAAGTAGATCGTCTTCCCTGGCATGGTGTCTAGTGTCTAGCAAGTCATCACCAGGAGCAGTTCTGAGTGACGGGTATGTCTGAGAAAGTCTCTCGTTGGTGTATTTCTTTCCAAGTAACCTGACTTTCATACACACGTGGATTTCCTAGGTTTAGTAAACTCACAAAGAAACATGCTAACGTGTACATGATGGAGACCTTCAGCAGTGTGAGGAAAGAACACACTAACATGTGTACGTGATGGAGACCTTGAGCACTGTGAGGAAAGAACACGCTAACATGTGTACGTGACGGAGACCTTCAGCAGTGTGAGGAAAGAGCACGCTAACATGTGTACATGATGGAGACCTTGAGCACTGTGAGGAAAGAACACGCTAACATGTGTACGTGACGGAGACCTTGAGCAGTGTGAGGAAAGAACACGCTAACATGTGTACGTGACGGAGACCTTCAGCAGT